TCTCCACCTGCCTGGGCGCACAGGCCACAGGGCCACCACCAACTCCCACCCAGGCAGCCCCGCCCCGAGGTGTGCAGGGGCTGAGGCCCCCGGCAGACGCGGGAACAGGGCCGACGTCGGCTGGAAGACTCAGCAAGGGCCTAGCTGCGGCCCCGCCCCAGCCACGGGCTCCACTGTCCCTCGGTACCTGATGGGGGTCCGGGGGCTGCTGTTGAGACGTCTGGGGGAGCGCAGCTTGGGCTGGAAGGAAAAGCCCTCCTTGATGCTGTCCAGGACGGAGGGTGCCACGTACGTGAAGCCCTGAGGGGAGGGGCAGGGCCGCGAGGCTCAGGGTTCACCACTTCTCAGCCACGGGTCCCACCCGGGTCCCCACAGGCCCAGGCCCTCACCAGGAAGGCCTGGTTGGCGCTCTCGCTGAGGGCCGTGTCGTCTGGACTGTCCACGGGTGTCTGCCGCGTAAAGCGGGTGTCAAACTGACTCACATCCTCCTCCGACTGCTGCAGGCAGACCCGAGTGGGGAGGGGTCAGGGGACATCAAAGTGCGTGTCCCCCGCCCGCCACCGACCCAACGGGCTCTCCGCTCACCAGGCTGGGCCTGAAAGGGGGGTCCACACGGCGGGCCAGGAGGTCGTCCCAATTCATGTGCCGGAAGAAGGGGTGTCTCTGTGGGTAGACAATGCCCCACGCGTGCCAAGAGCTCACCCTCTCTGGCCCTGGGTCACCCACTCTGTCCAGGGCCCTGCCCCTGTACCTGTCACCCTCGGAGACTCAGCCCTGCCCCCTGGCGGCAGTCCCAGGCCCACCTGCACATCAGCGGCGTCCCCTGGGCCACCGCCAATCCGCTGGCTGGGATTCCGCTTCAGAAACTGCAGGACCAGGACAAAGGGCAAGGGCTGGGGAGGCACTGCTAGTGTGTCCCCACGTCCCAGGGCTGCTGGGCAGGGTATGGTGAGGTGGGGGAGGCCTCTGGGCATGGCCCGCACCTAGGACACCCTCAGGACCTTTGAGGTCTGGTCCCATGATGCCTCCTCCATGAAGCCTTCGTGAAGGCTCAGGCGCGGGGCATTTTGTTGAGGGCAACGCCCAGTGGCCTGTGACATCTCTAAGGGGCACTTCTGCCGGAAGGGTGGCTAGCTCACATGAACATCCTGCTGATTAGGGCTCAGACCAGGGCCTGGTCCAGGGGCAGCAGTGGGTCTGTGCCAAGGCCAAGGTGGGGACTCAGAGTCTCAGATCCCAAGGTCAGGGCACTTTTCCCTCCCCGGGTGCACACTCTGGAGGCCCGACTTCCCCTCAGCCCACAGAGACTCAGGCATGCGTATAGAGGGGCTGGCAGGACCCAGGGCAGAGAGGCCTGACCCACGCAGGAGGGAACCTCACCTTTTTGACAAGGTCCCGGGCATCTGGGGTGAGGTAAGGGGGCAGTGCCAGCTTCCCCTTGATGATCTTATCCATGGTCTTCTTCCGGTTCTCTGCGGTGAAGGGTGGCTGGAGGAGGCACAAGGTGAGGGGAGCCTTGCAGCCCCTCTCCGGGCCCTGCCCCTGCCCGGGAGGAGGTCCCCTCCCGCCCCCACCCTCCCTCCTCCCAAGGAGGCTGGACTTGCCGATCCAGTGAGCATGTCGTACATCAGGGCCCCCAGGCTCCACCAGTCCACAGCCCGGTTGTGGCCACTGCGCACCAGAATCTCAGGGGCCCTGGGGGCCGGGCGGAACGGTCAGTCAAGGCGAGTCCTTTCTGGCTGTCCTCCCGAGCCCTGGGCCAGTCGGGTGCCACTTACATGTACTCGATGGTGCCGCAGAAGGTGTGCGTGACAGCGCCCTCGTGGATGGATTCCTTGCAGAGCCCAAAGTCGGTCAGTTTGATGTGGCCTGAGGACGGACGTCGGGAGAGGTCAGGCCTGCCTGTGAGGCTCCAGGGCCCCCCCGGGGCTGGCACGCACGCTCACCCTGGCTGTTGAGCATGATGTTCTCAGGCTTGAGGTCCCGGTAGATGATGCCCTGGGAGTGGAGATGGCCCAGGGCCAGCGTGATCTCGGCCAGGTAGAAGCTGGAGAGAAGGGACAGGGTGAAGGCAGGGGCGGGCAGGGACCAGGCGCCCCTTGGGAGAGTGGCAAGAGGAACACGCACCAGGCTGTGTCTTCCAGGAAGATGCCTTCTCGCTCCAGATGCGTGAAGAGCTCGCCACCTGCGACAAGAGCCCCGTCA